TTCAGCTCCGCCATGATGGAGTGCTTTGGGTTCACCTCCATGGTCTTCTTGGAGACCATGTAGGAAGTCATGGAGTTGTCGCGCAGGGCCTGGGCCTTCATGATGCGCTCCATGTTGGCAGACCAGCCGTATTCGGAAGTGGTCAGGACGCAAGGAGAGTCGGCCATCCTAGAGCTAACAATGACCTTCTCCACCTTGTCTCCGAGGACTTCCTTCATCAACTTGGTGAGAGGCTCAAACTCGGCCTTCATCTCCTCCAGCTTCTTCTTCTCGTCCTCGTCCTCAATGTCCAATCCCTCCTTTGTGGTGGATTTCAACTTCTTGCCATCGAACTCCTTCAGCTGCTGCACGGAGTACTCGTCGACGGGATCGATCATGTAAAGCACCTCGATGCCCTTCTTTCGCAGGGTCTCCAGGAACGGAGAAGAAGATACCGCCGCGATGCTCTCGCCTGTGATGTAATAGATGTCGTTCTGTCCCTCCTTCATGCGGTCGACGTACTCCTTCAGGCTGATCTGCTCGTCTCCAGACTTGGAGGTGTGGTAGCGGAGGAGCTCGGTCAACTTGGTGCGGTTCGTGGAATCCTCATGGACGCCCAGCTTCAGGCACTTGCCGAACTGCTCGTAGAACTTCTTGTAGTCGTCCTTCTTCTCGGCGATCTCTGCGAACATCTCGAGGCACTTCTTCACAAGATTCTTCTTGATGACTCGCAGGATCTTGTTCTGCTGCAGGGTCTCACGGGAGATGTTCAGAGGCAGGTCCTCCGAGTCCACCACGCCCTTCACGAAGTTCAGCCACTCTGGCATCAGCTCCTCGCAGTCGTCCATGATGAAGACACGACGCACGTAGAGCTTGATGTTGTTGCGCTTCTTCTTGGTCTCGAAGAGGTCGAAGGGCGCCCGGCGGGGGACGAAGAGCAGCGCACGGAACTCCAACTGGCCCTCGACACTGAAGTGCTTCACCGCAAGGTGGTCCTCCCAGTCGTTGGACAGCGACTTGTAGAAGGAGGCATACTCCTCGTTGGTGACGTCTTCGGACTTGCGCATCCAGAGAGGCTTGTTCTTGTTCAGCTGCTCCCACTCGTGCGAGACCTCCTTCACCTTCTTGGTCTTCTTTTTCTTTTCCTCTTTCTCCTTCTCCTCGTCCACTTCCTCAATCTTCGGCTCGTCACCCTCTTTCTCCTCCTTCTTCTCCTCTTCCTCCTCCTCGGAGTCGGTCACCTCCTTCTCCTTGGACTTCTCCACGTACAGCTCGATGGGGAAGCCGATGAACTCGGAGTGCTTCTTCACCAGGTCCTTCAAGCGCCGCTCCTCCAGGAACTCGGACTGGTCTTCCTTGAGGTAGCAGATAATCTTGGTGCCACGCTTGATCTCGCCGTGAACGAGCTCCGTGTCCTTCTGGACCGTGAAGGAACCACCGGCGCCGCTCTCCCAGATGTATTGCTCGTCGTCGTTGTGTTTGCTGACGACGCGCACCTTGTCAGAGACCAGGTAGGCGCTGTAGAAGCCTACGCCGAACTGGCCGATCATGGAGATGTCGCCTCCTGCCGCCATGGCCTCCATGAAGGCCTTCGTGCCGGACTTTGCGATGGTTCCAAGGTTGTTGATCAGCTCGTTCTTCGTCATGCCGATGCCGGAGTCTTCGATCGTCAGGGTGGAGTTCGTCTTGTCCGGAATGATCTTGATGAAGAAGTTGGGCTGGGCCTCGATCTTGTCGGGATCGGTGATGGACTCATACCGAATCTTGTCAAGAGCATCTGAGGCGTTGGAGATGAGCTCGCGCAGGAAGATCTCCTTGTTGGAATAGAAGGTGTTGATGATCAAGCTCATCAACTGCTGGATGTCCGCATTGAATGCGAAAGTCTCCGCCATGATTGCGTCGGAGATTCGAAACTACGCAGACGTGATCTTTGTCAAAATTGAGCCGAGTAGTGCTTGAGCCAAAATGGCCACAGTTTTTTTTTTAACACTCACACTCGGACAAGCCTGGCAAGGTCCACCATGCTGCAGTGTTTAGGGGTCTCAGCACTCGCACTCGGACATGTCTGGGTAGGGTTTCGGGTTTCGACGCTCACACTCGGACAATCCAGGCGAGGCATGTAGTCTTAGGTCGGCGAAAGGCGAAAGTGAAACCGAACTACTCACGGGAAGCGAGACTTTAGGGGTTCATGGTTTAGGGTACAGAAAACAAGGCCTTCTGTAGTTCTTCGTGAACGGAGCTTTCATCCAAGGCGCCGAGGCCAAGTGGCTCCAGGCTGTTTGCAAGCGAGGCCAGAGCCAAACAGCTTCCCCGCTCCAATAAGCTGAACTTGTCCTGCAACCCGGCGGCAGCGTCCCCTCTCTACTGGTCGTTTGAGGTTGCTGCCCGTCTGTGGAGCTTTGCATGGCTCAGGGAAGATTGGAATCCGCACGAGTACCACGGCACATTTAAAATGTCTTGTGACCTTTCTGTTGCCCCGCTGCGCAGCATTCCGTTCGACAGGTCCTCATAGCTGTGGTGCACATCTACCGGAAGCTGAGGCTTCTTCCTCATCAGGCCCGTGCTCGCGGACTCAAAGCCGGACCAGTCACAAGCCTCTCACATTGCAGCCAGGTCTCTCTGCCTCGAGGACCAGCTTTACACGCTCAATCGCCTGCAACGATGGAAAGAACACTGCCGGGTTCAGCGAGCAAGGCGGCTTTTGCGGAGGACAGTGACACGTGACAACCTCGACATGTTCTGTGCAGAGATGTGCCTTCTTCTATCTTTTCAACTCTTCAGGTCATGCTTGCAGCAAAGGTCGGAACATGGTGTCGGTTGGCAGATGCGGATTTGCAAGTGGGTGGTCTTATGTATGTGACTTTTGTGCGGGGCTTCCAGGGCATCGCCGGCATGGGTCGCTACGAGTAGGAAGTTATATGGGTAGTTGTCAAACTTATGGTCCCTTTTGCGGTACCCGAAATGATAGGTGCCGTATTATAATAAGGACCCAAAAAGGGACCCTAATTTTGACAACCACCCATATGGAGTTGCTAGGGCCAGGGACAAGGCTGGGATGTCACCCTGCAGACGTGTGCTGAGGGAGCGATGGTTAGTTGTCGACACGAAACCCTACCAGAATCCCTGCGTCAACACAACACAGAAACTAGACTCAACCTAACAAACATAACATGCAACTTCGGAAAAGAGAAGGCATTTTTGTCTCAACAGGATTTAGGCGAACCGGGCGACCTTCATAAACGGCAAGAACAAACACGGGTTGGGTGACGCCCCTCAGTCTTACTGCATCCATTTCAAGATCACAGGCCGGACTGTCGTCATGCATGCTGACTCTGCCTTCTTCAGCTTTAGCTCGAATTGTCTCATCTGCGTTTCAGCGCTCATCTTCCGGAGGTGCCTTTTACCGGGGAGGCGCCTCTGCGTATCTGTGCCTGCTACCTTACCTTAATTGGCTTGGGCCGCAATGCAGATAGAAGGGACAGTGGGAGCACTTTCTGCAAGCCGACACGAGCATCTACGCTTCTGGCCATCCATCTATGCTTGACGCTGCTTGGAGGGCTTCCCACCCAACCTTGCAGCCGCTCGTCGTGTGACCTGACGGCGACTGGTCCTTCATTCCTTGAGTGTTAGAGATGGAATCTTAGCCCAGCAGCCAAGATCCGCCGCCACCCTGACGTAAGGCGCGCGCTGCAAAACCTGGAGATCAGACGAAAGCCTGGTCAGGGTACACGATTCGGATGCAAACTTGTAAAGATTGGTAAAGCCCAGTGAGTTGGCACATCTCAGCTCGCCACACCAGGTAACCGTCGCACATCGCGGCTAACACCTGAGCCATCGTTGCGGGTCACAGGCTGAGGACGCATCGCTTGCATCTGCAAGTGCAGCAACTTCCGGTCGTTCGTGTTCTGCTGGGGTCCTTGCTGCTGTTGAGGCTTGCGCATGGGACTCGGCGAACTGCGCCTTGCAACTGTTCGGGCGAGCAGTTTCTGCTGCTCTCAGACATCACAGATCTGCCCATGGGCGCTTCAAGAGTCTCCAGAGCATTACTAAATGGATCAAGACTACCGCTGTCCTCGAGGGATCGACCCCTTTTTGATGCGGCCTGTCCGCGTGAGGCGAGCAAGTGAAACTTAAACATGAGGATACCGGATGTGCTCGTTTGGAAAGTGGACTTGCAATCCTGGAATTAGAAGAATCATGAGGGGTTGGCAACAAGCCATCCAACATCCACGCCAACCCAAGCAGAGCTACAAATCTGCTAGATTAGCTTCCTCTGCGAGAATGTCAGCATCGAAGCTAAGAAAATGACATCAGGCCATGAGGATGTAGCCCTCACAAGGCTGATCATCTGATCGGATCATCTTTGCTTCTGCACCCTGCGGATAGTGAACAACTTATCCACGATCCTCATATACTATACAGACTTCCGACCTCACGTTAAAGCGAAGGTAAAACGAAGCATTCCAGGCCCGACTCAGGTCATCAAAGGCCGGATAGGGCACGAGAGTCAGACCACAGCCCCTCGGTGAGATCCCAGTTCGTCCACTTCCTGACACCATCGTGGACTCTCCATCTTTCACGCAAGCAATAATCTAGATGACCAGTTCTTCTACCAGGCTGCCGTTCAAACGATTTCTGCTGAGTGTCACTTCTTCTGGCTTCGGGAAACCTCTCCCTTGTCGTGTCATGGTCGGCACGGCCAGTGAACCATCGCCTTCCACAGCCCAGATTATGATGGAGATTCGTACGCCATCCTTCTCGCTCGACGGAGGAATGGAATGGGTGAACAAGTCGTTGAAGAACGTGTCGAAGGCAAACACGTCACCTGAAAGTGCTCATTTCTGTTAGAGTAGAAAGGCATGCTGCTTTGCTACCCAAGTCGCTTCCCGAACCCCATGCCATAGTGCTGCGGAAGTCTCTGTAACTTGTCTTGAAGGTTGTCGCCTTAAACCCCCTGAAGAGCAGGCTCCTGCTGTAAGACCCTAAGCCTGTCAGGTCGAGCAGTTTCCTTACCGGAAGCAACGTGCAAGCCACCGTTCTTTTGCTTGATCCGGAACGTCTCACCAGTGAACCTGTCAGCGCCAGCGAAATGATCACCAAGCTCGGCGCTCTCTTCGTGGCACAGTCACAAGCATGCTGCACGCCAGGACTCGCGATTGCATCATGTTGACAAGTTGTGGCACCGAATCATGCAAACTGTTGCTGCCCTGCCGGCCTATCTTTGAAGCTAATCCTTGGTTCCCGCAACCATGTTGTATCATTGATGTATCAGAATGTATCACGCAGGCCGCCTGATGCTCAGACACCCTTCTTGCCGGGCGTCGGCCGCGCGGCGCCGAGGCTGAGGCCGATGGTGGCGCTGGGCCGAGGGCTCCGGTCCTCCAAAGCGGAGATTGCAAGATTTGGGAGTTTCCCAAAATAAGGGTACCTTATTTTGGGGTCCTTATAATAGGGATCCCATTATTTAGGGTACTATATTAGGGTCCCCTATTTTCGGAAACCCCCATTTCTGCCCCGCCAGAGACAGACACTGAGTGTGGGAAAAGATGGCTCTCCTTGTAGTTGTCTTGATGTGGGGCTTTTTGCTCTTCGCCGTTCCTCGGCAATGCCGGTGCCAGACTCGGACTAACTCTCAGCCGACTTCCTGCCGCTTCCGCGAACCCATGCACAGAAGGCGGGGAGCTACATCTGGTGCAGCCAGGGGGCCGGTACACATTCACCCAGCAGTCGACCATGGACAAGCCGAACAAAGAGACGAGCCGCGCTACCACCGCTGTGAAGGTCTTGGAGAAAGCCAGGTGCTCGCCCCACATCCTTCTTCATCGGAGCTGCTCTTTGCATAGCTTTGACAAGAAGACCGCACTATTGTGAGGGAGCGGGAAAGGGGGGTAAGATCAAAACTGTGGTGCGGCTGCGTGCATCTCAGTCACTGCATGTGCCGCCTGCTTCTGTGCAGCTTCAAGTGGCTACCAGCCTTCCTGGATTGGACAGTGGAACAAACAATGGTCTAGTGGAAACTTGTGCAACCTGTCGAAGTGGATTCACAGAAAAAAGCAACCCTGAACATACTCTTAACTCTTAAGCTTTACTTCTATATCGCTGATCAGATTCTCGATGTCTTCCAGCAGGGCATTTACTAGATTGGCATCGTCGCTGGATGAGCCCAGTGCTGGCACGTGAACGCAGTGCCCGGAACGAACCAGCTTTGCCGGCAGCGGCTTCATCTTCCTTACTTCACAACACGGCACCCGATCCTCTCTAACAGCCGAACTTCGGAGCTGAGCTGCGGAAACGCCGGCATTTTGACGGCAGCCTGCAGCGGCGACCTTTCCACGGCCGACTCGAGCAGTGAAGACCGGACCCTTCGAGATGTCGCATCCCCAGGGCCCTCCTCGAGGTCGCCTCCGGGAGGGAGACCCACATGGAGAGGCCGTCCGGTACAGACCACATAGCCAACACTGCAAAAATCCCTGCAAGGCCTCCGGCCAGTCGAAGTCTCCTGGTCGCAAGTGCATATGTGACAGCGACAGATTCATTGCGACCTTTTAGCCAGGGCTCGGCTTGAAAGAGCCGCTAAAGCATCGTGCTTGCGGGGCGACGGTGCCCCACTTCCTTGCCATGCCTGCCCGGCGAGAATCCTCTTCGATTCTGTTGGGGACCCATTGCTTTACATCTTAACTAAAGCCGGTTGTCTAAATCCGAAGACACGGACTTTTAGATCAATGCTCATATACTCCCGATCTTTTACTAGGCGTTTTGCACGGTGGCAGGGTCACAGCCTGATAGCAGCATCGGCCACATGCTAAGCGACAGCAGCACACCCACCGTCACCCAGGCTCTCTGCACTGCCCCGCGCATGGCCGAGTCAGGGCGTCTATAGATTCTAGAACCTAGCATGCAACTTTGGATCGCTAGGCGCGGGGTGTGAGGCTCTGTCGTTGGAGGATCAGGGTTCAGAGCTGCGAGGGGTTATGACTGCTGCGGCAAGAAAAGTCTGTTCGATCGATTCTCATGAACCCGTTTGACTGGGGGACTGCCCTCAGTCTCGACATTGTGCCATATCTTGAGAGACATGCATAACGCAATCAATGCTGCTGCCATCTAATGATCTAAGCTCTAAGCTCCCTATTCGACGGCGGCTTGCATCCACAGTTGCTCTGAGAGCCTTGCCCTGCGTAAGCTGGCCAAGCTTGTTACCTAGGTTGGCTCTCCATTTCACTACGAGGTGCTCGAAGTGGGGTTTCCGAAAATAGGGGACCCTAATATAGTACCCTAAATAATAGGATCCTTATTATAAGGACCCCCAAAATAGGGTACCCTAATTTTTGGAAACTCCCAAGTTTGCGCGGGGATGGACCCTGCGGCCCTGAGCGCCGCACGAGGAAACTCCAAGCCTGAGCTTCTGCAATGCAGGCGGTGTCTCTAATTGGTGGAAGTGGGATCTGCTTGCCCGAGTCGCGAGTGTGCCGCTTAAGGCAAGAATCAGCGCAAGAGCTAACCTTAGTCGTTTCAGCTGTACTCTGCTTGGGCTGAGCTGACTGGGATGAGGGGCGAGTCGCAAGAACAGTTTACTTTAAAGTTGAAAGGTCCACGCTCGACAGCGACGGTCGAGGCAACAAACTCGTCCACGGGTGACCTGCTTAGAGTGTCTTAATCGCAGCATCTTTGAAGGGTGCTGGCTTGCTGCCAACCCGGCCTATAGAGCTGCAAAGCTGCACGAGCCAAGCTGTGCCTGACGCTTGAAGTTGCATGGTCACCACTGTGCAGCGCACACGGATACATGCCGGAGGTTGAGCATGAGACCCAACAGCTGCAGCACCTGCAACGAGCTTAGTTATGGTTTAACTTGCGTCCGTTAGCACGCAGGCCTATTTTCCTGACTGGTTGAAGCTGCTCTGCCCAGGCTTATCATCAGTCACACAACAAAAGTACTGCGATCACCCTCACTTACAAGTATTGGCAAACCTTCGCAACAGGCCCAAGCGCTGCTGAAATACGACTCGTCTGAGGCACCGAAGCCGAGAGCACCCAGCAGGGGTGCCAGCGATCCGCGTATGCCTCCTCGGTGTTGGAGTCGTGAGATTTTTGACGGGTGCTGCTACGGGTCCGGGAAGGTTCAGAATGCTTGTGCTCAGGCTGTCCTACTTGCTCCAAGCTCAAGTAGATCAAAGAGAGCCAGACCTGAACGAAGGCTCGAGACAAAGAATGAAGGTCCAAAGCCTCAGCAAGGCCGAGACCAGTGACAACTTGGTTCGCCGTGTCTGCATCACCCCAGCTGATCGTACGGAAGCCTGGGCCACAATCACCACAGCGCACATCCACGAGCATCAGCAACATCGAATCGATTTGAGCTGCTGGCTACCAGCAGGATGCAGAACGCACCCTGCGACAGAGCGAGGCAAGGTGATGTCGGACCAACTTGCACCCTTTCCTGCCTGGCAGATCCAAGACGTGCTCGTGCCAGGAAGGGTAGCTCCTTCTGCCACAGCAGCTCTCAAAATTATCGGTGCACCACTCATTACAAAGGCCTGCGCTGCTTGAAAGAGAAGGCCAGCAGAGCCTTGGGAAAACAAATTGAACACTGCTCTGAGGGGTTACTGCGGGGAGAGGCAACCCATGGCTCCTGAAGAGTCTTACTGCCTTTCTGCACTTCGCAGACCATCCGTTGCTAACGCGGAGGCCCTGCAAAGCTGTAAGCTTAAACGATGCCCTTAAACGATGATGCCTCGTGGAGCAGTCCCGAAGCTCCCGATGTTCACGGCGTTACCAAGCACAACAGTGTCACAGCTGCGTAGTCACATTCAGATTCAAGATTGCTCCACAACTATGAAGCAACGCAGCTGCGTGCTGTGCCACTGTAGACACAGGAGCTGCGCTGCCTACCAAAACATCAGGTGGTGTCGACGCCCAAGTGTTTTGGTCTCACCTGGCTGGCCACATTTTTGCACTATTCGCTCTCACTGTGTAAGCAATCGGTGAGGAGGGCGAAGTGTTTGAGAGCTGCTGTTTCTGGTGTTTCGCTCAATGCAATCGCACGTGCCCCGTCATCATGGACCATGGCAAACCCATGCTTAGCCTACTGAGCCACCAAGGAACCAACCGCATTCGGTGGTCTTGTGGCAACTCTACAGAAAGGTTGCACATGCCAGGCCACTTGGTTGAGTCGGGCATTGCGGCTGCCTGGTCAAGTTTGCAGAATGAGAGGATGGGCGCGAGAGAGAGAGGGAGAGAGAGGAGACAGAGAGAGTGAGAAGTGCAGGAGGAGGGAGGGGGGGGGGCAGAACAACGACATACAGCAAGCACATCTCCAGTTCCAGATCCACAGCACCCCATGCCACACTAAGAGATTCTACAAGTAGCTTGCGCAGACATTACATAGAGTTGCACTCCGAAGTCTGCAACAAAACACTATTGAACATGGTGAAGCTGGTACAATGCCCGGCTCCGTAAGCAAAGAGCCTGTCGAAGGAAGTTCCATGACCACCACATACTTGTCAACCCAGGCCTTCGCAAGCGTGCCCCATGACTTCGGCACGACTTGATCCTTAGGAATACCTGCAGCAGGATTTTCGCGAGAGTCTTGCGATGTCCATATCACATCCGGTGTCTCTGAAGAAGGCCGAGCGACGCATGACAATGGCAGGCTTCGACTTCTTGATGCCGCGAATCTGAACCTCGAAGCCCAGAGACCTCGAACATGCAGAATCTTCAGTGCCACATTCACAAAAGCACTCCCGCGAAGAGATGTCAGAATCAGACTCGATGTACATGCATCAACCAGGCTGGCTGAACACTGCACAGCATCCCTGACTTCCGATCGATCTGCCTTGTGGTGTGCGTGTGTGAGTGTGTCAAATACAGCAAAATGATGTGGGTATGGTTCTGGTTGCAGATGCTTTACGGTTATACTAGGTTTTGTGTTATATGGGGCCGTCTCTTTCTCCCAGGCTGGGTTGTAGAAACAACGAAACAAAACAACAAGCGAATCAACAATTAAATGAACAAAACAATGTGCATTTTGAACTATGGTCGTACAGTGTGGGATTGCATGGCCGCTAGGCTCCATATCATTCTTCTCAGCATCATCATAGCATCTATAGTTTCGCCCCTAGTACTTGGTGCCGGAGCTCTTGCTACAGCTTTGTTGTGGAGATGGAGCGGAGATGGAGAGGGCTCTAAAGAGAGTGATAACAGATAGCATGGCCTTAAGAAAGATCCAATGTGCTGAGCTGCGCCGCACTTTGAAGCGCAACCAACGACAGGACTTTGGCAACAGCCCTCCCTCCCCCTCTTTCCCCTGTGTCTATTTCTTCAAGATATGTGGCCTTTGGCACAAACCGGGCGGAGTACTCAAGATATGTGGCCTTTGACACAACCCGGGGTGGGATATTGAAGATGCGTGGTATTCTGCAGAATCCGGGTTGAGAATACTCAAGATACGAATCCCGGTTGGAAGTACTCACGATATGTGGTCTTCTATATAAACCGTATTGAAATTTGGGAATACTTAAGATAGTGGCCTTCGCATCCCTCCCACACTCCCTGTATCCGCAACGCACTTCTAGCATGCAGGGCCTCAACTTCACAGGTTGCAACTAGTCACTAATTGAGACAAAAGGCGGGTTGTCCACCAGCAGCGGGGCAGTCTTGCTTCCGAGCACTTGAACTGCCTTCGTTGCGTCGGACTTGTCTTGGTTGGCATCAGCCATCTCCTGGCACATCTCGCCCATCAGGGAGTAGAGCCCCACCTTGCAAATCATTGTGTATGAGAAGGTGCCGTGCTCGGCAATGCGCTGAAAATCCAAAATGCCCGTGATGTGTGTGCGGGGTTGCCGCACGCAGGGCTCTTCTGGGCCCGAAGTTCCCCTGAACTTGAGACCGAGCACCCTCACCACGACTACGGTTCGATCCCGTGCGCACCTTCCGTCGTATACATGATTGCCAATTGCATAATACTACGGCACGCTGAGGCAGGTGCAGCCTTGCCTGTCTCCTGGCCCAGCGAGGGAGGGCAGGGGTGAAGCACTGCAAGTTCACCGGCTCTAGCACCACTTGAACTGCAAGTAGGATCATGACCACCCTCACGAAACGAAACAATGCCGAGAATGCTGACGATGAGAAGGTCGACCACAGCAAAGGGCATGGGAAACGTCAGCATGTATGGCGAGATGTGCTCATCATCAGCTCCTCGCCACCCTGGCACGTCATCGCCTCTGCATCTGCAGAGCAGATGCTGAGTTTTCAGACTCCTTCTCCGCCATTTTTTTCACCACTCAGCAAAGCCGTACACCGAAGTCCTAGTCCCCTGGGCCCTACAACAACCATCGACAACTATAGACGTGCCCTCCTTAAGTCAGCTTTCACCGTATATACATCCGTCATACGCATTGCAGGTTCACAGGGGCTGCACGCAGTGGGAAACGACCCTGCGGCAGCCTCTGCTCAATGCACTGAATCGGGCTATTTTGCGCAGGTCTTTATACTCGATCCTAATAGAAGGGTCTACAGTATAGTGCATTAGGGTCCCCTGGTATTCCGAACACTGCTGGTGGTGCCTGAAGCGCCGCTTCCAGGGATTGGTCCTTCAGGAAGGCCCCGCGCGAATCGGAGAGTACCTCAATGGGAAAATGGACACTGCTAATGGCTAACTTGAAGGGCCAACCAAGGCCATCGCAACATGTCGCCTCATGCTCTCTACTCTCTATCTTAGTCTTAGTCACAGTCTTCCTCTGGCATTTTGCGATATGGTGTGTGCAGGGTGCATTCCTGGCCATTGCAACCTTCAGATTCCTGCCTTTACTCGCCTGTCGCTGAGGCCGCGGCCTTCTCGGTAATGTCCAGTCCGATGTGGTCCTGGCAGGTGAGGTCTCTGCGAAATTTCGGAAGGTGTCTGAAGCGTCCCGCTTGCGCAGTCGGTCCTCTCCAGTGGGAACTGGCGCCTCGTTGGGGACCACATCAGGGCCAATCTTCTGCACCTGAGGAGACGCAACGGGGTATCTGTGCCCGGCTGATTCAAGACTTCCTTGCTCCCTTCTCCGTCCAATTTCCCTGTGACTGCAAAAGCTCGTGTGCCGACCGAGTATTTTCTAGCCGTCACCGCAGCGGCACTGGGTTGAAATGAATTTCGCCAACTCGTTGTCTGGCACTGCAGTAATATGAACTTTGAGTGCTCGGTGGCTAAATTGCCAGCGGCTGTTTCCCGATTCGCCGGAAGTTAACTTATACATTGTGCTGGCGATGTGCCGTATATGGGTATACTTATATGGTGTTCTACAACGTTCTACATCTATATTATGGCAGTGCATTATATGCTCACTGTCCTGCTACTTGGCTGAGGCAGGCATGGGCTCCATCCGGGGCAGGAGTTGCCAGCTCATTGGCAACGGCTGCCTCTGAGGGACTCTGAGGACCTCGTTGTTGCAAAAGCAATCAACACATCAACACTTAACACAATTCATAACGTCATTTCATATCCAATAGTGATGTCTAAGGTAATGACATTAATTTCACCGGTTTTTGCCACAGCAAAACCAAATTGCTGACGGAATTCCGGGCAAGTTGCGATGCAGGGTGGAGTGCGCTTGACACCTCGGATTTGAATTTCGTAGGCCATTGGTAGGTCTGTTCTGAGGAGCGGCTCGTCTTCGTCGGAGTCTGAAAATCCCGTCTCCTCGTCGGTGTCAAAGTGCTCCATACCCTTCTTCTGGGCGTCGATGGCTGCTTGTATCTGGCCACCAATGTCCCCGAAGAGCTTGTAGAGGCCTACACCAGCTGCACAATTGAAGCATCATACGGCATGGTACTCTTATATGCTACGGTGCGGATACAGCTCCCACTTTCTCTCCTGTACACCCACACAAACGCTGAAGGTTGAGAGCCGCCTAGTGCCATGTCCTGCATGATGCCCTCTGCGAAGGAGACGCGCGAAAGGAAAGCAGCCCGCGGGTCCGACAGAACCATGGCGCTGACATCTATGGCCGTGTCATCCGGCGAGTCCGTGGCCGGCATCTGATTCGGGGACACCCCGAGGTGCTCCACATCAGACTCGTAGTCTTCCATGGATAGCAGGACCCTGGGCTCATTCATGTCCATCTTGTAGGAACCGGAAGGGATGAAAAGCGTGTCAGCAGATGGGAGGACTGCCAGCATGCGTGACAGGTCCATATGCCAGAAGAACACGTCCTCAACAGACTTTGGTTTCTATGTACGCCGTACGAATCCATGCCGGAGCCAACTGATGTAGACACAAATGTGAACCCATGTTCTTTAGTCTAGTCCTCGTCAGATAGCTCATGGAAGTCCATGGCCCGGAAATTTTCGTAGTTGTCCGGCTTCAACAGTAGGAGCTTCCTGCGCATGGGGGGCACTGCCAATCAGAAAGCATCTCCAACAAACGAATCATGTGGCAGGCTCAGCCAGGGCACAGGGGTGGGTATTTGCATCCGGTCGCCACCAGACTAGCCGGCAGGTAGGTTGCCGCTTGCACAATCACTTCGGTGTAGTCGGGCACACCGGCCTGTAGACAGACGTGTGTCGAAGCTTTCTCTTCAGGCCCAGGACTCCCTACATCCACGAGATGTCACAACTGTGCGAGTGTGCATGCGCCTGCACCGCGTGCGTGAAGTTGAGCTCGCTGCCGGTTGCTTCACGCAAGCCTTGCATCACAGGGCCCTGTGCGGCCACTCGTTTCTTGATCTCAGACTTCCAGTCTATAGAATCCCAGCGAGACCTCAGCTCTCTTTGCCGGGGCACGGGTGAACTAATAGGTACGAGTACAGGAGTCCTTCACAGCTGATCTCTGCCAACTCCCCACTATCAAGGAAAGTGCAATTGAGCAGAGTATCATCAGGATCAAGGTCCACACTGCATGCGAGAAGAAGATGCGGAATGCTTCTAAGGCGAAGAGGACAAGGAAGGCAATGTCCACCCAGCTGTACGGCCCAACACCGGGTTGTAACCACACGCTAAGGGCATTGAAGTACATCTGCGTGGCCCCGAACTCGCCGACTGCGAACTCTGCGCGCCACTTCAGCGCAGACAGTGTATTGCGATTTCGGGTTTTGCTCTTGCCCAAGAAAGGTGCCGCGAAAACCAAGAGAACTGCGCACAGGGCTCGCATCGCCGCAAGCACCAGGCGCGAGTTTTGGAGACAAGCATCAGCATCCCAGGACTGCTGAATGCCATCGCTTTCGACCATCTCCATGACAGCAATGGGCAGCTCGATTATCACTGCTGGACCCAAGAAGCTAAAGAAGCCAAGCATGTGAAGGGTTACCCAGTTCATCTGGTAAAGCAGTTCGATGCTTGAGACTGCTTTCCCTTCGCGGATGGCAACATTGCCTCCTGATGCCCCACTGACAACAGGGGTTTGCAGCACCATGAGCAAGCCAAAGGGCGTCAAAAGGCCACGGGCTGCATGCCAAATGTAGCCCCACATGTCTGTGCCTCCGCATCGCATCATAATCCCACCGATGGCCATGATAACTGTGCTGGGCAATACTAAGGCTTTCACCATCTGACCCTCGGACGTGGACTCATCCCCGAAGGTCTCGGAAATTGTCTCTGGATGGGTTTTCATGAGCATGGAGTAGTCGGCCCTGCCTGTTCTCCGATACTTCTCCCGAAAGGCCTTGTAGTACTTGAAGCGGTTTGTGGGGGAAGAGAACCAGACGTCGATGGAGGTCACAAACGCTGCATGGCACATCCGTGCCGCAAAGAACACGACAACGGCTCCGGCGCATTGGACCATGAGCTGTGGCTCCACCATGTTTGCAGCGCTTAGAGGCTCAAACCGCTCTCGTGGCTTGATCAAACGGCTGCAAGATCACTGTTATCACAAAGCAGAACTGCGATCTGCGTGAAGCCGCACATCGTGAATCGTGAGCTGCTCAGACTCAGCACCGAGCATCACCCTTGTACTTGGATAGGGACAACAATGCCTCAGAAGCACAAATAAGGCTGCGGCTAGCTCGGGGATAGCTGAAAGCTCCCGAGCCGGGCCATGTTTAGGGTGGTCTGACAGCTAAGCTCTTCACCTTCGGGTGCATCATCTCCTTTTTGGCAGGAAGCACATTCGGGGCATTGGCGAACCTGCAAACCGCCGGGGACCCAGCCATCTTGTAGAGCCCGTAGGGGAAAAAGACGGTATCGGCAGATTCAAGGGCGGAACTCACGCGGGACCTTGGTGGGCAGTCTCTGGCCGGGGCCCCCTTGTTAATTTGGGGCTCCGGCAGGTCCTTATTCCAGTGGTCCAAGTCCTCCGAACTCAGCTCATGGAACTCCATGGCCTCGGGAGGTTGTTGACGTCCGGCAGCCGTCATTCACTGATGTCTCTACCAGGTAAGGCCTAGCCCTTGGCAAAGCCGCGCAATGCCGCGCATCTGTGCACTATCTGTGCATGTGGTCAAGTGTTTGGCGCTTGCAGCTGGAACGCAGCATTGTGCAGCCAGGTTGCCCTGAAGTTCTCGTAGTTGTCAGGTTTCACCACTAGGAGCCTCAAGTTCAACGCTGTAACGGGCCAAACAGCAATTGCCACGTCGGAGGCGGGCTGCAAGCATCAAAGTGTCCCTCCCCAACGGACCGCCCTCACTTATGACTTATGCGCACGCTCACGCACACCTACACGTTCTGCTTGCCCGCTTCGGCTCGACATGGTCTTGCAGTGCAGGGCCTGAACTTGTCGTACTTGCAGCCGGTCGCAACCATACTGGCCGGCAGGTACTTCGACGCCTGTGCACTGAATATTAAGCTCAAGCAGTGTAGGCGACAAGCCAAAGACGGGTGTAGTGTAGTCTGATCGGACAGTCTCGATTGCCGGTCCGCTGGGGCTTCGCAGCACAGATCTTGACACTCTGGGACGGGCAGTCGGGTAAGCGGCGCCTAAGATACGATCCCGTGTGCTCAACATCCACGCAAGCAGCGAAGCCTTGACGATCCACTCGGAGAAGTCTGGCACACCGGCCTGTTGAGCAGAAAAGGCCTATCAGCTAATAAGGGGAATTGCACAAGAAACCTATCCAGCGCGGTCTCCATGTCAATGCTGACATTCTTGTGTAATTACTTGTGTGTGCAGCCCTCATATGGCGGCCCGTGGACTCACCTGCACAGCGTGCATGTGCGTCAGCTCATCTCCTGTGAGTGTCCGCAGACCCTGCATGACGGGACCTCATCTCAGAGGCCGGAGGCTACAAGTAAAGACTGCATGAATACATAGACACTCGTGTGCAAATGCCGGGTAGCAGGCCCTGTGCCGGGACCCTCCTCTTCCTTAGCTGGAGAGACTTCTGCTGGAGGTTGACTTTTCCCAGTGTTAGTTCGTCCCAGTGTCCCTTCAAAGCCCATGCAAAGTGCAGCTACGTGCGGATTCTGCAGTTTGAGCAGCTTTTCTGCCTCATCCGCCCAAACAGCCCAAACAGTCCCAAACAGCTGAGATCGCTGACATTTCTGCCGCCCAGTCGATGCTGTCCCACCGATTCATGACGACCTGGATGCCCAGAGATCTTGTTCACCGACACATCAAAAACATCGGCGCATTTACAGCAGTGGCGGAGATTGTAGCAACAGCTCTGGGACCACATGGAGGGGGCTTCAGGTGTCAAGTGCTGCAGGATCAGAGGGCGCAGCCAACCAAAACACGCCGTGCCTCGGATGACTGTGCAAAACGTGCAATGCACAGCCAAAGAAAGCAACACGAACAACTGTCTCCCTGCTATCTGCCAGCTAGACCTAGAACCCAAGCCTCAACCCCAAAACCCTAAAGTCCTAAAGCCCAGAGTGACGAAGGAAGTCGGGTTGCACACAGAAGATCCGGAAGGCTTCCAGGCTCAGAAGGCCAAGCAGGCCGAGATCCAGCCAGCTGTAGGGGCCAACTCCTGAAACGAGGCTACAGGACGGTTTCGGCGCTCCAACTCGGACAATCCAGGCGAGGCATATGGTTCGAGGTCTGCAGTGTGAAACCAACAGCACACATGCATCTACAGGACGGTTTAGGGTTTAGGGTTGTTAACGAATACTGAATACTGTGTGACTATCCTGTTGCGTTATTGTAGTAATTCAGACCCTCGGGCTTAGGGCAATGTAGGGGAAGTAGCGATTCGGCCAGGATGTTAACCAAAATATGCGCGAACAAGTAAGCTAATACATGTAATACGTGTACATACATACATACATACATACATACATACATACATACATACATACATACATACATATATATATATATACACACATACATCTGCAGTAAGGCACCCTGCCTTCCGACTTCCTCGTGTTCTTATGCATTCTTGGGTCGAAAGGGTTTGAGGCTGGTGCTGAGGAGCTGTGTTGAGGAGAATTTATGGCAGGCGCTAGCGAACATGCATGGAGACTGATCCAGTTGCAGTTGCCTGGTTGGAAGAATACGCTCAACGCATTGAAGTACCTGCCACAGCTTCCGACTTTGCAGACGATTGGGCAATTCATGTGGCCTTGAAGAGCCATGAAAATGAGTTTTCGACGAGGCGCATTTGTGTGGCTCCGAACTCACCAACCGTGAACCTCGGATGCGATAGACGACGAGCCATGACGGACCCTCTATCTGTCGCTCCAAGCCTACGCACAACAACGCCTTCGACGTTACCCAGCTCAGATACAGACTCTGCTCGCCACTTCAAGGCGGCCAAGGTGTTCGGATTCCTGGAGGGGAAACATCGACTCCAGGATACCACGTTGTCGCCAGTAGGTACTGCGCAGAAACCTAACAGAAACCCAGCCTGGTCTTGGTGGTCGTGAGGAAGGGCGCGGCAAACAGGAGCAGAATGGCACACAACACTCGCATGACCGCGAGAACCAGGCGATAGTGCTGACAGGGCGGACCGTCAGAAGCAGGGTTGCCGGGATTGATGCCTTCTGTTCCGTCCCTACAATACCGAGAACTTTTACACAAGGTAGCTTCTCGTCTTGCTGCAGGGCATCCAGCAAACGTGCCCGGCCTTGATGAATGGGCCTTCATCCCAAGAACTTAAGCCGCCTTGACAGTGTGATTGCTGCATGTTTTCACGGCTGAAGACGTGTGAAACGAGTCTTGGGTTTTAAGCCTTCATGAGCACTTAAGCAAGATCAAAATTGATTGGCAGTGTGGCAGTCTCAGCGACGGGATGCAGGTGATATCATGCTCGGTGCTGCTGCTATGATTAAGAGCCCAGAAGATGCCTGATCCTGTGATGATCTCATAGAGAGCCACAGGGAGCTCGATGATGACCTGGCTAGTCTGTGCGGGCGTGCACCATGGAACTCTTGCAAATTTGTCTACTGGAGACGTCTGCCACTTCCACAGCGCTCGGGGCGTCAAGTTCCGAGACGCTAAGCTGCGCACGGCCGGGCCGAGAAAGGCGAAGAAGCCGATCATGTGCAACATTACCCAGTTCATCCTTGCGCTTTCAACACTTCAGAGATCTAGAAGTGAGTTGCCAGGCGTGCGGTTGGCAAAGGATTCGATATCGCAAGGTCAATCTTCGCAACAGCGGCACACATTCTAGAAGTGATGGTGGCGGACAGTGCTGACATTTTCTAGGCTCAGGAAGACTCCTTTCAATCTCCCATGGTATCAGCGCAATATCTTGAACGAAATCTTCCACGACAGATTTGTGTGAAAAAAGCTTTTCGTACACTCTGAGTGGCCGAGACCGTGTACTGCCGTGGCATGTGTACCCGACTTCGGCAGCATCGGCACTGATGCACCCACTAAGTCAGGCAGGAACTCAAGTGACCATCTGGGACCCAAGCTGGTAGAGCAACTCAATGGAAGAAACCTTCTTGCCGGCCCGAATGTCCTGCACGAGAGTTTCAGTAACGTACACGACGGATTGACAGGCAAAGGGTTACAACATTGAGTTGATTTCCGCATCTGCTGGCACGAAGCGGAACAGGTTGGCCTACACTAGCTCCACTGTTTCCACAGCAACGCAGTGCCAAGTCTTTTCTTTGCTCACATCGCGAAGATGCACCTCCGGGTCTCAGCATGCAACGACGAACGAAGCGTTACAACTCAGTGTGCCCACAACAGCTGTACGACAGGCACAACAAAGCCTTCACATTCGTGGCTTGCGTTGCTGTCCAACACATTGCCTCAGATTATCATATGGGAGGACTCGCACTCTGTAGCCTTGATGTTAAGGATTTCAAGATGCACCGCTCCGGCGACACCCTCGGCCCAAACTCCCATCGTTCGCATGTCTTTGAGAGTTTTGGAGTCTGGACAGTAGATCTTGTCATCCTGGCATGTCTTGATGGCCGCGCCAGTCGCATCATCCCAGTAGTCCGTGAAGCCCGTCAAGGGAAGGGTGACTGTGTTTACTTGACCAGCTGGCCCTGCGTTGAAGTCGGACTTGTACCCATATGCAAAGAACTTTCCACCAGGAGCATGTGCGTTTCCGATAGAGAAACGAAATCCCTTGTAATCGTTTGCGGACTTCACAGTCAGGGCAATATTCTTGCAAGTGGAGATGTCTGGGAAGATGCGGCCAAACGGGTTCATGTCGACAACTGAGGCCTTAATGAATCCAGG